TTCATGAATGAGTGTTTTACTCTGTACTAGGAACCAAGCCAAGTACTTAACAAAGCTTAGCGTTGTGTTGCTGAATCCAACCCCAAGACTGAGTTTTATTTTGCATTTTATAGGCTCCCACATTCTTAGTGTAAGGGGATGAGTTAAAACCTTATCAACAAAAGGCTGGAATGTCAGATTCCAAAGAAACCTAGGATAAATCTCACTCCGTACCTGTGGCCCCTCCCAGCACTTCTCGCCCCGCCCCCCTACCCTAAGCCTCTCCAGCCCAGTGACTGGTCTCCACTTCTTCCCCCAGTTTCTGGTTCCTATATCACTCAGCCATTTTGACTACATGCTCTCTTGACTTCTGACTGGCTCATTCTTAGCCTCTTTGCCCTCTCTTCTTCTCTTGCTCTCTCCCCCTCTCTCTCCTCTCATGGCCTGGTGCATTCTGCTGGCCATGTTCAGTCTGGACTCTTCCCTCAAATCGACACTAAAACCCTTCTCCCTCAACCATACCTAGGAGTGGTCATGTCCTTATTTTCATTGAGATCATTAGCAATTTCATTTGGCCAAAATTCAAAATCCTTTGCTCAGATAAACCTCATTCCAAGTTCTTATCAAAATTGGAGGCTGCTTATCATAAGCTTCTGAAAAGAAAAAACGAGGACTGCAGGCAGCCCTTGTACTCATTGCTGTGACCAAACACCTGGCTTAAAGTGAGAAAGGTAAGGAAGAAGGAAAGGTTTATTTCTGAATCAAAATTCCAGGGGATACAGCCCATCAAGGGAGGAGGGTGACTGGTCACATTGCACCCACCTCAGGAAGTACAGAGTGGTTAAGTGCCGGGGTTAAACTCACTTTCTCCTTTTTATTCAATCTAGAGCCTCATTCTATGGAATAGTGCTATCCACAGTTGAACCTAAGCTTAGGGAATAGTGCCACCCACAGTTGAACCCCACAACTGAGGTGTATCTTCCCACCTCAGTTAACCCAATGTAGATAATTCTTCTAAAAGCATGCCCAGACATTAACCTTATCTAGATGATCCCTCACCAATGTGCATTGAGGCTTGCTGTTAAGTGATTTTAGATCCTATAAATTTTATCATCAATATTAACCACCACAGCCTTCATTCAGTTATCCAATAAAAGATGGTTGAATACCAACTATGTGTCAATTTGAGGGCAGAGTATGGACAGTCAGGCAGGCAGAACCTAGGAAGAATCTCAATATGTCAGGGCTGGTTTTCTCATCACTGATTCTCTTCAGCCTCCTCTATTGGCTTGCCACCATTTTCCTTCAGTTCTCCAAAAGGTAGTGCTTCTCAGGTCCAGCTGTAGGTATCTCTGCTGATTTCCACCTGGAAAACTCTGTCTGCCATTCCTTCTTACAGAGGTACCTAAATGAGGATGTCTTGTTAACCCACATGGCTGATGCTGACGTTTTTCCTAAGTGTCCACCTGCATCTCTTTCTACCAGTGCGTCCTACCACTTCCTATCTCAAGTCAGCAACTCAAGCACCTGGTCATGGTGATAGGGTTCCCTTTACTGCAGGAAAGCCAGACTTATTGAGCTATTCCACTAATTTTTTTTAGTGGCAGGGAGCTAAGGAGATGACTCAATAAGTTAAACACGTTTGATGAAAGCATGAGGACCTGAGTTCAAATCCCCAGAACCCACCTTAATCAGAGCATAGTTACATGGGTATGTAATCTCAGTGCTCTTGAGAGAACAAGATGAGGGAGGCAGAGGCAGGAGGATCACCAGAAACTCAAAATCCACTGGCCCACTGGAAGCAACCGCAAATAACTGTCCGGAACAAGGTGAAAAGTAAAACCAGACACCTATAGTATGACAGGCTTGTCTCACATTATTTGTGACCCCGGCTGCCTGTCAGTTCTTAGATATCCTCTACTAACCAGAGACTACAAACATCTCTATTTTTGTACTATGCAAAAATATGAGTTAACTTAGAACAAATTCTGTCTAAACGGAGCTAAGGAGCAGCTGGTTTTGATGCTGAGGTCAGAGGTGGTCCCAGGTGACTAGCTGCTGAGCGATTCCTGAACACACCCCTTGTCAACACGATACATTTCTTCAGAAATGTCCACTATCCTGTTGTCTAAAGACCACATCAAAATGAAGTGAACTTTCAATATAAAGACGTCAGTGTTCACTTGCAATGGGAGCCACATCTATGGTCCTAGCACTTGGAAGGAGGGAGCCAGGAGGATTGCTGGGAAGTTCAAGGCCAACCTCATCTGCATAGTGAGACCCTGTCTCAAAAAAAATAAAAATAAAAAAGGTAGAAGGTAGTGTTTCTCTCTCAAATTCCTCTATAGGATCCACATAAGCCCTTTGAAAATCCAGAACTCTTTATAGACATTGATTTAATATTACAGTGAATATAGAAATGTAAAGGATGCATAACATTGCTTTAAAAAAAAAACAGAACTAAGGCTGGAGATGTGGCCCAGGGGTAAAGCACTTGCCTACCGTGCACAAATCCTGGGTTCAATCCCTAGCACTGCAAAACAAAAACCTGTTTTTCAAAGAACAATTTAAGGTAATTCACACTGCCTGAATTCAGCCAGTATTATAAAACTATCATCCACAAGAGACTATGATATGGAAAGGCACCATCATCAATAATGGAACAAAGTAGGAGGCACCAAAGCCAGATCTACATACATATTCACTCACTTAAAATGAAGCTGCTGAGGCAGATCAACGGGGAGAGGATTAGCTTTCCCCAAAATAGTATAGAAAAACTTCATCCTACTTTATACCATACTAAAGGAAAAAAAAAAAAAACCTCACAGTCAAATCAGGTGAGGTGGTATACACTGTGATCCCAGCGCTCAAGAAATGGAGGCCTGTTTGCAGACAAGTAAATAAGCAGGCAGAGTAATAAGAAAATGAAGAGTCTAATTGTAAAATAAGCACAATGGGGGCTGGGGAGCTGACTCAGACAGCAAAGTGCATGTGCATGTCATACAAACAGGAGAACCCGAGTTCAGATCCCAACATCCACATAAAAAGTCATAGTGGTCCATCATAGTGCTGGAGAGGCAAAGACAGGAAAACACCTGAACTTATTCTGAGTTCCAGGCTTAGTGAGAGGCCTTGTCGAGAGAGAGAGAGAGAGAGAGAGAGAGAGAGAGAGAGAGAGAGAGAGAGAGGGAGAGAGAGAGACAGACAGACAGACAGACAGACAGATAGATAGATGGAAAGCAATTAAAAAAGACACCTGACACTGACTTGTGTTGCACACTCATATACCACACACAAAATATAATATTTAATAAAGACATTTCATCAAAAAAAGACAACATATAAGCACGCAAAGATTGCTGCAGAGTCACTAACTACAGAAGAGTAAATTGGGGCACAGAGAGCTGTCCTCACCAGACCCTCTAAACTGCCAGACACCAGGCTGTCGATACCAAGCACTGGTGAATATGTATCACCTAAAACATGTGTGCCATGTAGATGAACATGCAAAATGGAAGAACCTCTTCAAAAATATTTTGTAAACTTCGTAAAAAAGTGAAATACACACCCATCATACAATAATTTCTCCCTTCCTCTCTTACACCCATGTATACAACACCCTGCAATGAAACTTTACATTCACACAAGGACTTATATACAATGTTCATGGTAGCTTCCTTGGAATACCTCAACACTGGAAATAATCCTATTTGTCCTCAAGAGATAGATAAACTGGAGACCCATCTAATAGACTACTGTTTAATAATGAAAAGGAACCATTACCAATACATACAACATGAATGAGTCTCAAAATAATTACAATGAGTAGAGAAGCCACACAGCACCACATGATTCATTTGTGTGGAGCCCTTACTCTCTTCCTCTGACTTTACAAGTTCGTCTCTTGAGTATATTTTAGGTAAACATTAACAAATATTTTCACATGGCCTGCAACTTTCCCTTTAACTTAAGTTTATAGTGTTTGGTTTGGTTTTATTTGCTTTTTATTATATCATCCTGTTTTGTAATAAAGATTTTCAATATATGGTATTACACTGTAAAGCCTTAGAGGTAATGTCACTCTACGAACCTGAGTGTTCCTTATATGGTGTCCTATGCCTGCAATCCCAGCACTCAGGAGACAGGAGGATAAAAAAATTACAGGCCAGACTAAAGAAGGAAAGGAAGGTAACAGATTGATTCAAGTAATCCTTGACTACACAGTGAGGTGAAAGGCAACATGAGACCCTATATCAAAAAATAATTTTTTAAAAAAGCAAACAAAAAAGTTGAGAGGGGTAAGCATAGTTGAGTAAGCAATAAAAACAATAATCCATAAGCCACACCCAAACAAAATGATGAATACAAGAAAATGGAGACATTGTCTTGGGGAGAGTGACATAAGGAATTTAAAGAAATATAAAATAAAAAGTTTCAGAGGTTGAAGGGAAATAAAAGGCCATTCCATGTAATGGGCTCAGTACCAACATACAGATTTTCATGTTTTATTTTTTTTAAAGATTTTATTACTCATTATGTATACAGTGTTTTACCTGCATGCCAGAAGAGGGGGCACCAGATCTCATTTCAGATGGTTGTGAGCCACCATGTGGTTGCTGGGAATTGAACTCAGGACCTGTGGAAGAGCAGTCAGTGCTCTTAACCACTGAGCCATCTCTCCAGCCCCATGTTTTATTTTTTTAAAATGCTTACTTTCATTCCTTCTGATAATATATTTTCGAGGATTTTTTTTTGTTAACATTCAAAACATCTGTGTGGCATGAAAACTAAGGGGAAGATAAAAATTCTTTCTACTTGTGATACTGTGATACTCTAGGTTTGACTCAACTGCTTGGTAGAACATTTGTTGTAAGACATAATGTAACCTATTAACTTTGTGGTCTGAAGTGTTTATAGCTGTTGAGCTGGATTCCTTAGTAGACCAAATAATTTGTCACTTGGAAGTGTTCTAAGATAGCTTCATGTTTAAAAGGAAAAAAATTAAGATAGCTTAAGTTTCATCTTAAGAATTTTCATTCCCTGTAGTTAGTTCTGCATGTACTAGTCTTAAAAGTAAACACTCAAGCTAAAACACCTGAGGAATTCCCCATGTGGCTTGTTTTCAAAGTACTGAGAACAAAACTCCGAGCTTCCCTAGTCATGTAACTCAGCAAGGCTTGTGAATGAAAATATAGTGCCCAATCCCATTCTGCTTTAAAATAAATACAGATGACATAAAAAGATAAAATTAATAATAATAAAATATGACAGGATCCCTCTATGTATCGCAAGCTGACCTGGAACTCAGACTCGTCCTGCATCAGCCTCCACAGTGCTGAGATTTGGGGCATGCATCAACACACGAGGCCCTGTCATGTCATCTTCAAGGTGTGAGTCTTGCTATTGGATCCCTAGGCCAGAAGCCTGGTTCTGAGGGTTCAACATGTGGACCAGGCTCAGTTACTAACTGCAACTCATCTAACCAAATGATAAGCAGCCCCAGTGAAGCAAGAAGGGCTCGTATTCAGTGTAGTCATCCTAGGGAGGGACATGAGGACAGAGAGTTCTTGCTGCCTTCTTCAGCGTGCTGATAAGAAGTCAGGCTTCTGAGGAGGGGAACAGTCTTGTGGTTAGGAAAGCCTGCAGTGCCAAGCCGTCCTTCAAACTGTGGGCTGGTTCGTCCTTATCTCAGGATGGTTCTGCTGAGACTCCAGTCTCGTCCGCAATAAGCCAGTAGCTGCTGCCTGGGGACAGTTTCCTCCCATCACAAGACGTTTACTGTTGTTCCTGGAATGTAAGATAACTACAGGAAAGAATGACTCAGAGAAGGGACAACCCAGACCAACCAGCAAGACGTCAGACAGGCAAGATGGAGTCAGAAAGGCTTTCTGATTAAGGTCAATGCCTGGCAGCTTCCACTAATCTGGAAGAAGGCTTCAACACCAAAGGTTGATAATCTACTGAATGTGCTAACAGCCTTAGGCTGGAATCAGGGGGTAGGGAGGGGAGGATTGCCATGTTTAGATTAGATACATCCTAGTGAAGAGTCAAGCAGGACTCTAAAGTTCAAGCCAACCAAGCACACACATGGGAATAAAGACAGAGAGGCCCAGCTTTTTAGTCACCCATCAGACACCTTTGGACCAAGTAAAGAGCACTTTTTATCAAAAGCAGCCTGAGTCCTTGGTTTCAGTCCCTCTGGCTTGTTTGCAGAATGGACTGTAATAAATTGTTGGAAACAATAAGGAAGCAAGCTTTCTTCTTGTCCGTCTCCCAAGCATGCTCAGTTTCTCTAAACAGACAGGAAACAAAAACCTAATCAAAAGAAAAAGTCGCCCCCAAAACCATGCTTTGAATACCCAACTAGTAATCTTCCACCAGCACTCACTGAGTGCACCCAGCTCAGTCCCGACCCAAACTCTACCCTTCCTTCCAACCTCCTACCCTATCTGCCAAAACTCTCAGCCTCCCACTCTGCCCATGGTCACTTGACTCTCACCTGGTCCTTAACAGACCGTTATCTTCAAGCATCTCTTCATGGAGGTACAACATGCTGCTGCTCATAGACGCAGGACCGAGCCCTTTCCTTATTACAATGCCAGCCCCTGAACGCCATAGCCACTGCCCAGAAATATCTGATGATCAACTGGCGAGATGACAACCTCATGGTAACTTCTGAGTCTGACTTCCGAAGGGTTCTTGGAGATCTTGGAGGGACAGTTTCTTTTGCTTCGATGTTTATCTGACTCAGTCCTTCGTCAGTTATGGAAGGGCACTGCTTGCATAGGCATCATCCTACATTGCCTTGCCTGGTTTTGGCTTGTGACTAATTCTCACTTTATCATCTTATATTTTAACTGGTTCTACTTCCTCTTTTGCCTAAGGCCAGTAATGCTCATCAGTGAGGACGTGAGGACTGACAGTGGGATGGACTTGTCATGAGGACTGGAATTGAAAAGCCAACAGTAAGAAATCGAAAACAGAATTTCAAGCATGAAATGGTTGATAACATGAGAACATTCATGCATCCAAGTCTTTTCTAGAAGAACAGTTTATTAGGGGGAAATTTTTCACACATGCTATCCCAGTAGACTCCCTTAGTCTATAGAGTACATTCAGATCAATTTATACTTATAGAAATCTTGTTGTTTCCCCAAGATTTAAATTTGATTAAGCATCCTCTATTTTTATTTGTTTAATTGGCAACCTTATTCCCAGGGGACATGTGACGATATCTGGTAAGGTTTTTCACTATCGAAATTAACTGGTTTCTAGTAAATAAAGGCCAAAGACACTGCAATGTAGAGACATCTCAGAGAAATCTAGCCCCACGTATTAGTAATGCCACCATCAAGGAACTCTGTTTTAAGTGAGGGGGTGGTACTGATCTATAATCCCAGCATTCAGGAATGTGGGGCAGGGATGGGGGGCACAGCGGGGCAGGGGTATAACTCAGTGTTAGGGCACTTGTTTTGCATGTGTGAGGTCCTGGGTTCTAACCTCAGCATTGCAAACACACAAACCCCAATCAGATCATAAAAGAAACTTGTTATATTGAAGAGAGGTGTGGTAACACATGCCTGCAATCTCAACACTTGTGTGGCAGAAGAAAGGAACTAGAGGCTGAAACATCAAGATGAACATCTAAAGAAGCAAGTTCACAGAGAGAGATGAAGCCTTCTCCTACCTGGGGGTCATAAAAGAAATGCAGTGTGCTCAGGCCAGCTAGAAGGCTGGACACCATCCAATGAACAGAGCATGCCTGAGAAAGGCCCTTGCTATGCAAACAGGAGAGGCGGTGCAATAGAAATGTCCTATGATAGGTTCTACACCTCTTGGCCCAATGCTATTCAGACTTTTTCTCTTCACTCACTAGCCCACTTTGGTTGCAGAGAGCGATCTCCCTTTCTTTATTTTTTTTTTCTGGTTTTTCGAGACAGGGTTTCTCTGTGGCTTTGGAGGCTGTCCTGGAACTCACTTTGTAGACCAGGCTGGCCTCAGAACTCACAGAGATCCGCCTGCCTCTGCCTCCCAAGTGCTGGGATTAAAGGCGTGCGCCACCAACGCCCAGCTACGATCTCCCTTTCTTAATAAACTGTATTTCTGTTTCTAACCGCACATGCCCTTGGTTCAATCAGCCGCTGTCCTGAACACAAGAGCCTGAAATAAGATCCCTCTTAACTCAGATCTGCAGCCCAGCACTAACTAAGCATGCTTCTTCTTTTCCCTCTTTTGGGCACTGGCTAAAAGCCCAAGCACACTTCCCCTGGCACTCTGGCCTCAGTAAGCATTGTTTGAAGCCCCTCCTCTGTCTACCACACAGCTTTCTGCAGACTTCCACTGCTGAACGTGCGAGACCCTAACTCAAAAAGGCATGACTCCTCCTGCTCCTCTTCTCACTTGCGTTCCTCCAGCAGCTGCTGACACTTATGTGCACGTGTCTACCCAGTCGCTTTTCTCTCGGTCTCTAGTTGTCCCTAGACTCCCTTCTGAGTCTGTTTTGAAATTCTTGTATTCGTGAGACTAAGAACCTGAAAGGAGTCCAAACTTCCCCTTGCACTTGGGAGGTAGAAGAAGGAAGATCTTCCACTCAGGGTCATCCTCGACTACATGGCAAGCTGAGGCCAGCCTGGGCTACATTAAACCCTGTTTCCAAAAAGGGAGGAGGAGCAGGAGAGAGTGAAGGGTAAAAGTTGGAAGGGGGAAGAGGAAGAAGAGGAGGAGGAAGAGGGGGAGGAGGAGGCAGGGGGGAGGAGAGAGTGAAGGGTAAAAGTTGAAAGGGGGAGGAAAAGCAACAGCAGTGATGGCAACAGGAAGGTGTGGAGGGAGAGCCTGGGCTACACAGCAAGTATGGAGGGAGAGCCTGGGCTACATAGCAAGTGTGGAGGGAGAGCCTGGGCTACATAGCAAGACACTGAAGAGTATCCAGTACCCAGCTAGGTATATAACTAGCTAGACACTTGGCCCCACCCCTACCAACAAAAATCAAAGGTCATTAAAATAGTACAGGAGGATAAATGTTCCTCTATATACCTATGAGACTCTCAACCACTCTACCCCCAGCACCTTTGAAAACATGTTTGCAACATTTGTTTTGAAATCTACAAACTACAGAAAACTAGAGCATTCTGGGGGGACTCTTGGGGTGTCATTCTTTTGTACTTGTTATTTGTTTTGCACTCTGGGGGTAGAATATAGGGGCTGTGCACATGCAGTGTAAAGTTGCCCCACTGAGTTCCAGGCCGAGTTTGAAACCATTGTTTTATCATGATGAAACACCACCACCACCCTCCCAGGGGCAGCTATGATAAAATGCTAATTGCACTTGGTAGAGGGAATTCAGAAATATTAGAGAATATTCCAGGCTCTCACAAAGCCCTAAGAAGGAATGAAAACAATTGCTAAACATAGTGCACCTTCCCACAAAGCCGCCTCCCCATGCTCAACTCAGCGTGTGTGTGTGTGTGTGTGTGTGTGTGTGTGTGTGTGTGTGTGTGTGTGTGTGTGTTTTCCAGAGAATATCAGAAGTTTTCACAACTGATTAGCATCCAGAAAGCAACAACCTGTTTTAACCTTGAGATGCAAGTTGTCAAAGATTGTCAAGGGATCTGAAGGGCTGGAGGATTTGGTGGAAGATCAAATTCCCAGCATTTCTAAGGCAATTAGTTTCACATGCAAAGTCACCCGAAGGGGTTGCCCACTTTACCCACAGTAAAGCCCTGATAAAATTCAGGGTTACAAACTTCGGACTAATTGGCCAGCACCCACCCAGCAGGGTTCCTTATCCTTATCCCCAGTTCTTAGAACAGAGAAGGTGGACCAGGATTATATTTTGCTCTGCCTCTAAAAGACTGGCCTCTTAAATATTTCTCCACTTCAGATCACTAGACTTAAGCTCCAGGTACCACGGGTAGGTATTGAGCTGCTGACTATTCACAGTTCTGGAAAGAAAAGGTCTACAGGGCTGGAGAGATGGCTCAGCCGTTAAAGGCTAGGTTCACAACCAAAAATATAAGAAAAGGTCTACAATGGAGTCTAGTCTCCTTACAGACTTCTCTTAAGAGTCTCCCTGAAGCTGCCTTGACCTCAAAAGGCCTTAATGGTTCTGCACTATTATCTGACCATTTCAGAAACCAGGGAGGAAGTTACTGTCAGTTCCAGCCCAGGACTTTGGAGCATAAACTAAATGGATTTTGAAAGATCTGATTGCTAAGCTGCTTTCTTCATACCCACACCCCATGCCTGACTTCTCCCGATGTCTGGTGCTATCTACAGTGGACAAGTTCCAGCCACGTGGCCAAGGGCACGTGGTGACTGAAAAGTAGGCCATTGTCAGGATAAGTTTTTCTACATCTGATGTCTGGTCATGTGTGCCTTTTGTCATCACCTTGGCTCTCTGAAGGTCAGCCCATCAGCATCCTCTTGGGCCATCGACAGCTGGAGATCTTTCATTGAGAGGTCCTGCCTTCCTGATAGGTATATGAAAGCCCTGGATGCTACTCTCCAGGGCATTCACTTTGATGCTTTCCACTCTCTTACACTGATGAGGCTATACCATATTAGAGCTGGCAGCCTGCTCTCTCAGATCAGCCAAAGGACACTTGTGAAGACCTCCCCTCAGGGAATATGGCCAGCCAGAGATGCTGGTGGCTGGTGGGACCACAGCCCAACAGCACAGATTGCCACTGCCATCTCCACCCTTTTGGCTTTCCTCTAATGTTTCATGAAGAAAGTGGTGGCTCATGAGATGAAGACTAGAGAGATGGACATCAAAATTCACAACTAAAGAAGCCATCTGATAAAAACAGACTGGAAACCCTTCCCTACCTGAGCTAATGCTTGATATGGGGCGGGGGCTTGAAATGGACAAAAGTGGGAGAGAAGGATCCGGGTCTATGTAAATGACCTATGAAGACATAAGCCTTTTTGGCCCAGTGATCTTGGGCCTTTCCCCAGGTCACTAGCCCACTCCAATTCTCAGCAATGCTTCCCTTTTCTTAATGAACCATCTCTGTTTCTATTTCTAGCTGGACATCCCCATGTATCTGTCTAGTGTAATTCTTCTTCCAAGGGCAGAATGTTGAGTCTCAGACCCCGGGACAAATGGCTGAGGTTCTTAAGTAACACATCAAAGTGGACCTGACCAACAGGTTCTCCCAGTATCTCTCAGCCGCTACTGTTAACAGGCATGGCTGGCATACCCTACCCTCTACCCCAAATTCTCCAGCCCAGGGGTTAGCCTTCCCTTCCCCCATGTAATCCAGTCGTTTTGGGTACTGGTCTTTTCATCTCTTGGCCCAGACTGCCCCTCTTGGTTTGTCTCACCTCCCCTATCACATCGAATGATGCAGCTCAGTCTGGTCATGTCCACTCTGGACTCTCCCAGATGTCCCTGCCTCTGGCTATGCTCTCCCACATATCTACAATAAACCTTCTCCTCCACCACCCCTAGGAGCAGTCACTCCTTTAATTTTTATTTTTCTCATTCACAGAAGACCCTGGAGACTTCAGCAGGTGTCCTCCAAACTCTCTGCTATGCGCTTGGTAACTGTGGAACAGACCAGGCCCTACAAGATCTGCATAGCACCCACTAACCTTGTTGGATTGCAACAGTCAGGTGTGGCAATGAAGAATAAGGTCCTTATCTTTGTCACTTTGATAACTTTGTAACCTTCTATAAAGTTACATTTTAACTATAGTTCCCTCGTGAATATGTGTAAGATAATATGCTCTGAGTTGAAGTGATCAAAAAATGAACCTTGGGGAATGGTTGGTGGCAATGTGAACCAAACTCATGCTTTCATCCCACTCAGTGACAGCCATGAAAATTAACAGAAAACCACAAAATCCTGTGGCATGTCTCAATCTCTTACTGGCCTTTTTTTCCATTATAAAACCTTTATCTTTGCCTAGTCCCTTCTGTCCCATTTTCATTTTTAAAATAT